AACATCATCCCCATCCACCCATATCTCATAGTCAACCCTGTTGCTATGCTGCACAAAGACCACATGCTACCAGACAACATCTTTCTGCACTCCTTCCTCTACACACACACACCCCGTTCCTCTGCCATGCATTTGCTCATTGCCACAGCTGGTATGGAATGCCCTGTCACCCACCTCAGATCCCTAAGGAATCAGCCCATGAAGAAGTTTGATTTCAGTTCAGGAAAACTGATGCTTATGGAGTATCTAGGCTTGCATCAAACAGTATGATAGGCCCTGGGGAAATAAAAATAAGGAGGTAAGATCAAGTCCTTCTCTTGAGGAGCTCACAGTATGGGCAGAGCATAACCCCCCATAGCACAGAGTGATGCAATGACAGGGAGCTGAGGTGGCTCAGGAGAGGCATGCCTTGCTCAGCTTAGGGGAAAATGTTGCTGAAAGAAAGTATCTGGGTTTAATGTCAAATGAGAAGTTATTCATAGTACTGAAAATGGGGTAAGATACTGTAGGTAGCAGTAACATGAACAAAGACTGGAACCTTCTATGATAACTCTTCAACCTCCCCTCATTTCAAAACTGAACACTTCGTTCTCATTTCCATAACTACATTTGTGGTTGTTGCTATTGCACATTACTAACCATATTCAATCTTGTGTTTCAGTTATTTGTATATAATTATTATTTATCAAGTGCCCGGGAGGTTCCTGGCACAGTGGATTCTACCAAAAGCTGTCTCATTTAAATCTCTCAGTAACCTTATGGGATACGCACCACTGTCAACCCCATTATGCAGATGAGGAAACTGAGTCTTAGAGCAAGCAACATCCCGAATTTGCATAGCTATTATACCCTGCCATAACCATAAACTGGAGTGATAAATAGTTTCCAAGGTTCTGTATGTAGAGATCCTGATTTAGTAAGTTTCAGCTGGGACTCCTCTGTGCCATTGTGTCAAATCACCAAACTGATTGGGACCTATACTTGCGGGAACTCTGAACTCAGAAGGGAACGATCTGGGAATTAGATCACTCAGTTTCCAGAAACTGTTTCTAGATTTGGCTACTCATGGAGGGGAGCAACATATTACTTATTGTTGGGTCTTACAAAGTCAACTTATAATAGGGTCTTGTATGTGAAAAAAAAATGTTGGCTCATTGCTGGGACTAAAGTGGAGATCCCAGCTTTTTGGAAGAAGATGGCTTTGTCTCTCAGGGATGAAATAATTTTGCTTTTATTGATAATTATTATGATCTTAATAACAAAGTTATGATATCAACTTGACTGGGCCAGGGGTATCCAGACATTTGGAAACATTAATTTTGGGTGTGTCGGTGATGGTGTTTCCACATAAGATTAGCATCTGAATGGTAGACTAAACAGAGTAGATTTTCACGTATGGGTTGGCCTCATCCAATACTTTTAGGGCCTAAATAGAACAAAAAGACAGAGAAAGGGAGACTTCTCTCTCTCTTTCTGTCTAACTGCTGAACTGGGACATCAGTCTTCTCCTGCCCTCGGGCTAGAATATACACCATCAGTGATGAGGGTTTTCAGGCCTTTGGGCTTGGACTAGAAATTACCCCACTGACTCTCCAGTCTCCAGTTTGCAGACAGTAGATCACAGGACTTCTCAGCCTCCAAAACAATCCTAGCCAATTCCTTATAATGAATCTCTTCATATATACACATATATAGATATAGATACATATATATATATTATAGAAGTTTCAAATATAGTATATATATTTCTATACATATTATAGAAATATATATATTATGTAAAGAGATATGTATATGTACATATAATACATATATATCTCTTATTGGTTCTGTTTCTCTGGAAAATCCTGAGTAATATACAGAGGTAAAAACTTTATGGTCCTGTATTTTTTTCAAACCAGGTCCCACAAAATTACTATTCCTTTCTATGCTGCCACTGACTTCCAACAAACACTTATACTGATTTCTCATTACTAAAAATAAAATGGCTACCATGCTTACTTAGCCTGAAATCCAAATTCATTTGAAATTGGCTAACATCTCTCTCCAGCCTTTATGCTTAACATTCTAACCTTTGCATCCTGCATATCAGCCACTCTGAACTTTTGGCTTCTCAAATTTGTGAAACTGTCTTCTGCCTCTCAGTCTGCAGTTCCCTCTGTGTGGATACCTTCCCAGCTTTAAATAGCTGGCAAATGCCCACTGCCCCTTTAAGACCTAACTATGTTTCTTCCTCTGTGGCTATATTCCTGATTCTCCTAAGCATAAATAATCACTCACTCTTTGGTTCCCAATATCTATTATATCATAGTATTTTAATAAGACGGTCTTCTCCATTAGAGCGTTAACACCTGGAGAACTGAGATGGTGCCTGCATCCCTGTCGCATCATCAATACCTGGCACAAAAAGGTCCAGTTGCATTTTATTGAGGAAATTAATAGGTGAGTGCAAGGAATGAGTCAAGGAGTGAAAGAGTGGTGGAATGAATGAAAGCATGTGCCTTTATTTCCCATCTCACATTTAATCCATTCAGGAAAACTGTTGGCTTCAAAAATATTTCCAGTCTTCAAAATATTTTCAGAGTCTGATTATTTCTCACCACCTTCACTGCTACCATTTTTGCCCAAGTCATCCTGGCTCCTAGCCAAATTGCTCTGGTAGCTTCTTTATAGTTCTCTGTGCTTTGATCCTTAATAACTCCTAAAGTCTATTCCCAGCTTGGAGCTAGACTCATCCTCTAAAAATAGAAATCTGATCAAAACTTTCCTCTGGCTTCCATTTCATGCACAGCAAAAAGTCCAAGTCCTTTCAATGGCTTACAAAGCTCTGAATGAACTACCACCTCTCAGTCAAGTGCACAGCCCTGCTTACTTTCTATTCTCATTTCCTACCACTCTCCACCTTGCTTATTTCACTCCAGTCATCCTGGCCTCCTTGCTGTTCTTCAGATATGCCAGGCTTGCTCCTGTCATAGGGCCTTTTCACTGGTGATATCCACTCCTTAGAATGCTTTTTGCTACTTGTCAGCAGAGCCTACTCCCTCAACTCCTCCAAGTCTTTGCTCAAATAGTATCTTTTCAATAAGCCCAGCCTTGACTACCTTATTTGATATTGTTACCTGACTGACATTTTTTGCTTGATTCAATATACTTATCATCTCCTAACATATTATACAACTTAGTGTTTAATTATATTTATTGTTTATTGTCTGACTCTCCCTACTAGAATGCAGGCTTTATAAAGACTTGTATTTTGTTAGTGATTTATTCTAATTGGCTGAATAGTGCCTGGAACATAGTAGACACTCAACAAATATGTTTTGAATGACTAAGCGAATGCATGACTACTCTGGGATGTAAGTTTCATAAGTGCTTTGAAATTACTGGACTTCATTATTGAATCCCTAACCCCAAATACAGTGACACTTAGTAGATGCTCAATAAATACCCATTGAATGAATGGATGCATATGAATTGGGTTTTAGTGCATTACCCTCAAGGAAAAAAAGCATGTCAACTAATCATCAGTTTATTAATTTAAAATCTCTTGGTGTTTATTTTAACAAAAGCTTTCTTGGGATTCTAACACTAAAATAGGATGTCATTGAGGCCTCTGTGGTTTTAGTGGCTATGACCTTTACTATCTTTCTCAGGGAAGAGAAGTGCATGTGGAAGGCTTTAATTAATCCAACCTTGAGGCTGGAGTAATGTTCTGACAAAATAATCAGGAAGCCTTACAGACCAACTTCCCTAAAATAACCTTGCAATTGTTCCTAAGTACACCAGAAACTCTAATTTGGGCAGTTTTGGCTCTTCTCAATTGACTCAGAGTGCTTTTAGCTAACATCATATGCTTAACAAATCTGAAAGTTTCCCATGAGAACCTTCCTTTAAGTTTGCATACTGCCCAGCTACAAAAAAGGAAGGTCTGTGTTTTACAAATACAGAAAATAGCTTTACATAGATTCTATTTTTTTGCAGACTCATAGGCAAATTATCCAATCAAGCCCCAGTATATGTGATCTGATTTTTTTATCAAAATATAATGTCTAACAGGTGGGCTAGTTTGGACTCAATCTTTGCAATCTTTGCCAGGTGGTATGAAATAATGACAAATGATCATAGAGCCTATATATAAATAGTCACAATTCACTCTGCTTAACCTGTGATTCAAACTAACCATAGAAACCCATTTCCAAACTAGATCCACTGCTGTGATCGAAAGTGGGTATCTTCAAAATTGCCTGGCTTAGCCAACTTGCTGCTCTGAAATTACTTTGACTGACAAGCTTATAGAACAGAGATTTGATATTTGAATGAACAAATAGCTCCACCAAGTTCATGGACTCATAAGTTTGGCACTTTTTTTAAGCACTAGTGGATACATTGTCACTAGTGTTTTTATAAAAGAGATACTAATAACCCCTGAAATGCAGGGTCAAAACTATTCATCTTTAAACCCATACAGCAAAGTAGTTTCTAGCACAAGTTCATTACTTAACAAGTATTTAGAAATGAATAAACAAGTGACAAATTTCTATTAGAATCATTACAGAAAAATTATGATTATGCTTTCAAGATCACATAATTTTTTTTTCTTACTTTGGTTAACAGGGAACTATGAAATGCCTTTAATTATGGTAATTACAATTAGCATAAGTGGTTAATGTATTTGTTTCCCCTTCTGCCTTAATGGTTTTGATACTCTATTTCTGTTGTAATATCTTACTTCTCAGAATCTTACTGTCTTTTAGTTTAAAAATTATTTTTAGAAATAGGCTATCTATGTAATAATAAAAATTAATATATTAGAGCTACTATACCTCTTTGGTGTAATTTGCTAGCAGAAAAGCAGCAAGATCTTTGCTTTCAAAACTAAAAATATATTTTATGTACATAGTTGATATGGTAAGTTGAAAGGAAAAACTCTTTCATTTCAATAAGCATTTATTCCATACCTTCTCCATGTAAGGTATTATGCTAAATGATGGGTTAAGAAATGATAAAGGCAAACCTAGATTGGGAGATAGACACCCCACTGGCAGCTGCAAAACAATGTAGTGATGATTCCATTTAGATGAAATATCCAAAGTCAGAAAATCCAGAGAGACAGAACGCAGATTTGTGGTTGACCGGGCCTGGGGGTAGAGGGAATCAGGAGAGACTGCTTAATGGGTGTGGGGTTTCCTTTTGGGGTGTTAAAACTTTCTGGAACTAGATAGTGGTGATGGGCATATAGCACTGTGAATGTACTAAATGACGCTAATGGTAAATACTAAGTTATGTATTTTATTACATTTTTAAAACACTATTAAAACAAAATAAAAAATCCTAACATGGTGAGGACAACATATTTCACTCATTCATTCATTCAAGAAATATTTACTGAGTGCTTATTTTGTGTCATTCTTGGATTAAGTACTGGGGACAAAATGCTGAGCAAAGAAAGCCAGGCCTTATCATTCTCTCATGGGCGATGCCTAGTAGAGAGACAGAAAAGTAACAAATAATTTGTTAAAGTTTAACCACAGATAAATGTTATGAAAGAAAGAAAATGTATAACCAAGAAACTTGGCCTATTTGAAGGTTTTGGACAAGAGTCAGGGAAGATTATTCAGAGGAAGGAATCATTGATCTAAAAAACTCAAGATGAAGGGTGTATAGAAGCTGGAGGGAACTGCAGCAAGAGCAGAAGAAGGACACGGAGCTCAACAGGAGGAAGGAATAGCTTATGTAAAGAAAGGATGATAAAGAAACAGGGGGAAACAATTTGTGATACGCTTGAGGAGAAGGCAGGGGACAAACTATATACAACATTTGAAGGATTGGAAGGCCTGGGAGGGTACAGGTGGGGGGTGAGGTTATGAGACAGTGGTGAATCTGATTCGCCATCAGTAAGATATGAATATGACTCACCATTGAGTAGATCTTCTAGGAGGTTACTGCCATGTGCAAGGTGGTGGATATAATGATGGTTATAGAACTTGATGATGGATTGCACCCAGGATTGCAGAGGAAGGAGAGAGGTGGAGAGAGAAACTGAGAGAGAGAGGCAAGCCTGTTGCTTAGCTTTTGGGTTTGCAGATATGGGTGAATGACAGTGCCACTCTGAGACAGGAAGAGCTCCAGAGGCACCTTTTGGTGATAAAAGGAGGTACCAACAGAGGGGGGGTCACACTGACTCAAATGGGAAACCTGACACAGTCTTTTCCCCAGTGACCTTTGCATAAGAGTTTTTCCTGTGTTCTTTGGAGTTGTATTTGGCAGTCAACAATAGGTCCATGTTGAATGAAAACTACATGTCTTTGCAACACATTAAAAAATACATTAGCTGTCTAGGAAAGGGTACATAGTTCCATTATTCTTAGGCAATACTTTAATTTTTTTAAAGTTACAAGAGTAAAATAGTAATGAGAAGGAAAGATACCAGTTATTGAGTTTCTACTCTGTATCAGGTGCTATGCTGGGCTCATATTACATATTTTATTTTTAAATGATCCTTTAGAATAGATCCTTCCCCCTATTGTAAAGATGAGGAAACAAAAGCTCAGAATAAATTAGTAAATTACTTACAAATATTACTAACACTATTATACTACAAATACAGGTAATAAATAGGAGAATTAGGAATTTAAAATCATGTCTCTGGTTGCCTACCAAGAATCACACTCATTCAACTATACTGACGTTTTTCTAACTTCAATTATTAACATTCATGTTTTTTACTACATATGTGTACTGTGTCTACTAGTATTTTCTTAATATTTTCCTTTGAATTTGCTCATCTTTTTTAATTCATATAAATATATTTTATAAGGACACTTTATATTACTACCATGAATAGAAAATCAGGGCAACCATGAAGACAATCATAAAAAGCAATTGGAAACCATAAAAAATTATAGTTAAATAAAGCAACATTACTAAACTCTAGCTACATGTTATTGTTTTCTGTTGAGGTTCTAAGTTTCATGCCTGTTATCTCTCTACTAAGAAGAATTAAGAAATTCAAAGAGGTTTTCAAGACCAGTAACATATTTGGAGATGATCCCTGATCATTATTACAGGGAGCCAAAGAGAAAATAATTTCCTCACTATGTCATTTAATATTATGTACTACTGTGAGCCCCCTTAGGCCATTTTGCATGCTACTGATGAAATGTTCCATGGTTGGGAAGCCACTGGAACAGAGTATATATCATACTACTTCTGTTAACTGAGACATCTATACTTTGAAATTTCTCTTGATGCTGATCCAACTAACATTTGTATTCAAGATCATGGCATCGAGAGAGTATGTAGTAGTTAAAGCTACCACTTTTAAAGGAATTATTCTGAAGAGGGTCTAATAGGACCCTCCACCAACTATGAAGCATACAAGAGAAAGGATTAGGCAACTGAAATCCCAGTTCTTACATCACTTTGAGCAATTTACTTCAAGATGAAATATTTTCAAAGCTGATTTTAAAGAGTAAGTTTTTTTCACTTGGGAGGCCACTGTATGACCATAAATGAAATCATAAAACTTCAGAAATCCTGAGAGAATCATTGCCTAAGTCCAGAAAGATGAGTCTGCAGAAACAGGTCAAAGCTCCAAGCAGAAGAGGCACTTAGGTTCAACCGACAGAGGGAAGAAGCTAACCTACTGTGCTTGGCATTCAGTAAAGGGAGACAGAGAAGCAACAAGTGCCTTTTTGAGGAAAAGAACAGATGGAAGGAAACTTAAGCAAAGTTTAAAAACATCGTTGTGGTCTGTTCCACAAAAACCAGTAGAGCTGTGATTTCTCTGGAGCCAGAGAATTTAAAGGTAAGGAAAGTAGTGATCACATTACATACATCACAGCAGTGGTGTAATGCACAAAGCGATGATTCTAATAAAGGTCTGGCTAATTCCCTCTCTGTCTCAGAGATGAGCAAGGAGACCAAGAGGTATCTAAATCTGTAACAGCATGTATTAACCCAGTCTGAATGATTTACTGTTACCATATTTAGACCAACTTTGAGTACAGGAGAAGGGGAAAAAAACATGAAGGAAAACAAGACTACCCATAAAAAGACACTGTAGAACTCCATGTCCCAGCAAGTGGGTAAAAATGTTAACATTGTTTTTTATGGCCTAATAAATGTCTTTCATAAAAATTGATGAAAACATACTCCCTAGATCTCTTTATTAGATTGAAAAAAGAAATATTGATCAGAAGGGGAAGCTGATCAAGAAAGAAAGGTAGAAGGAAACCAGGTCTTAGTTTACATGAAAATATATTCACTGTATTTTTAAACTTTATAATCCAGTAAAATAAAATCTATACATGTGATTAGAAAAAACAGTAGAGAAGTTAGGTAACCTATCTGAAGATACACAGCTGAAAGATTATGAAATTAGGACTTAAAATCTGGCTGGTTCTAAAGCTTTTGCCTTTTAACTAAACCCCCAAGTTTTATCTATTTTTGCCAGCTCAGTGAAATGGGTCATATGCTACTAATGTTACATTTAAAATTTTATGGATTCACAAAACTGTGTTAGGAAGAAATGACAGTGATTTTGACCCCTATTTTAAGGACATTTCAAAACTCCAGGAGCAGCAATGTTGTGGATAAAAGTGCAATATTTCCAGAATCTCTCGCCTGGCTTTAGTGTATCTGCATATCAATAGGTATTTCAAGGGGTGGAGAAAAGTGGTCATCTACCTATCAATAGGTAATTACAAGGGTATAGGCGGGCTTATCTGGCCTGGAGAGGTTGGGTGGAGCTCTCTTCTGCTGCAGCCTGGTCAAGCAAGAGATAGGATGACTGTAAGAAATAAATGGGTTTCTTAAACTTTATTTCTCCCTTTGATTGATTTCAGTTTTCAGAGGTATTTTGCCCTGGGATTTCCCCTCCATAGTTAGAAATGTAATAGTCCTACCCATTCTACAGATAACAAAAATAAGAGTCAAACAATTATGTTTTGCTCCAGATGCTATAACTAGCAGGTGTTATCCACTTCAAATCTCATGTGGTATTCTCCTATCACAGTAACTTTTGGCTGTGTATGGATGGTCAAAAAATGGCTTGAATTATTACTATCAAAACTAATTTAGTATCATTACTGCTCATCTGCAATACTGGAAAAATCACTTTTAAAGATCAAATTACTACTTTGGGGGCCGAACTCTTCTCCAAATCAGAAATTCAGAATTCAATTGTCTTTGCTATCTTGAATTCAAAAGGATTTGAAGGTAATGAAGTCATCTCCTGAGCAAACTTAGTTCACTAACTCTTTCATCCAATGAGCACAAAGAAATGAAGATGACAAGGTCCTGATCCTCAAACTGCTCACAGTGCATGGATATTTTCAGATAAGCAGGGTATTTACGAAACGGAGAAACTGAGGACTCTCTTTACAACAAGATTGCTACACAGCTATTGGGCCCACCTGAAGTAGATCCACCCAGTCGTCTATTGAGCCAGGAAACTAGATCAGAAATGAGGAGAGAAAGATCAAGACTGCTTTTAGAAAGCACTAGGACTCAATAGTGTGAATCTGTGATCCTGGATCTGCAGATTATGACCCTTCCTCTAGAACTGCCATCTGTAACGTTCACTTTTTTTAGTATCCTTTGAATCCTTATATCTCAGTAATTAAATAGTGTTTAGAAATAAAAGTGTTTTAGAAATAAGAGCTTTCTAATTTAAGTCTATTTTCACTGACACTGATTCTTAGCTTACTTTTCATCATTTCCTTCTCTGCAACAACTTCCAATGTCTCCCTACATTTCCCCATCTTCCATACACACTGAAGTGATAAATAAACAAACAAAACCTAACAATGACCCTTTCCTCCTTAAAATTCTTTCATGGTTCCTCCTTGCCTAAAAGATAAAGTCCAAACTTCATCATATGCCATACAAACTTCTCCATGATCTGATTCCATTCTACCTTTTCCTTCTTCCATTCTCCCCATGGCAGCCTACATTCCAGCATACTGAACCAGTTAGTTTTCTCAACAAGCCCTTTGTATTTTCTGATTAGTTTTTTCCCCTGGAATCCCCCTAAATCTCTTGTCTTTTTGGCAAGCTACTATTCATATTTCCAGGCCTTTCCTACGAACCCATTCATGATACCCCCAACCTCAGTTGTCACAGTGGTAATAAATAC